CTAGGACCTTCCGGAAGGCCATGGACTTGGCCTTTCGATACTGTAGCAGCTACGACCTTGACCCTTCTGGACTGTAGCAGGTACGACCTTGACTTTTTGGAAGCTCTACAGCTACAACTTCTAGAACTCCCTAAGACTTCTACTCGACAGGTCTACAGATCGAACCCCTGCTACCTACCGACCCTACGACTGTCTACAAACTGTTACAAATACACAGGTCACGGGTTCAACTCTCGGGGTCGACACAGATACTGTACATAGGTAAGGTGAGGACTAGGGATCGAGCCCTGGGATCTGCATCGGCTACTGCGAACTGGTGAGTACCATTTCACTAACAAACATCGACGACCATTGCAGTTGGTATGGGTTACATCGACGACCATTGCAGTTGGTATGGGTTACATCGGCGACCATTGCAGTTGGTATGGGTTACATCGACGACCATTGCAGTTGGTATGGGTTAAGTCTAAGGAGTTTGTTCCTGAAGAAGGGATCCCGCAGAAATTGTTACCTGCATATAGGGGACCATGGCAAGTCTTAGATGTCAAAGGAGAGGCAGATGGTCCGTCCTACACTATCGAGATTCTGCCCCACCTGCACACGTTCCACGCATCTAAGTTGCTCTCCTGTATTACGAACGACCACTTTACCTCCCGACGCTCCATGATTCCACCAGATATGGACGGAGGATATGATGTAGACCGAGTAGTGGCCGAAGATACTTTCCGCACAGGTTGCAGAGGAAGGCCACGACGACAATATAAGGTCAGGTTTGTCTATCAGGAGCAAGGCGAAGACCGCTGGTTCCCAAGGGAAGAACTAATACAGATGGCCCCTCACATTGTCTCCTTCTATGAGAGGGCCCAGAGAGGAATGAATGTGTATGATAGATGAAGATGAGATTTTTCTCGGAGGACCTCGAAATTAGGCCGGCGGGAGTGAAAGGATTCACGCTGCAGACACCCCAATCCCAGTCCTAGAGTCCCAAAGTGTCCCAGTCCCAGACTGTCCCAGTAGGATAGGCTGTAGGGTTTGTAGTTTGAAATGTTGTAGGTCGACAGGTGTCAGAACCTAAACGTCATAGGTCGGTAGGAGTCATCCGGTACTCGACAAGAAAAGTCCGGAAAAGTCCACTCCGGTCAGACAGTCCCAAGTCCAATTTTGCAGCATGTCCCAGGAAAGTCCGGAAACTGCCGGACCGACAAAATTTTAGCAGCAGACAGGCCGCGGCCGACCGGTACCAGTCTGAAGCAGGCCAAGCCAAGTCCTATACTTAGCTGCTACAGTGCAGCAGCTCCTCACTTGTTCAGTTGCAATATGAGGAAGCGCTGCCGCTGCTTGTGTGCTAAGGCAACTTGGGTACTGTGCGCCTGAAGAAGAAGATGGTGCTTGTGAGATGCTCCATAGCTAGGCTAGACGTAGAGCAGGAGGACGGCGGCCATAGCCGCCAAGGTGTAAGCTACCTGAGTGGGTGTATCCAGGGTGATGATCCAGCTTCACGATCCAGGTTAGAGAGGGAGAGAGAGAGAGGGAGGCAGAGCGAACCAAGTCAGAGAGAGAAGTGAGACGAGAGGGAGAGAGAAGCCATAGCTGCCACCTGTTTGAGATCCGCTGTGTGTGTGGGTGTGTGGCAGAGCCGCTGGAGACAAACACTCTTGTATATTGATAATGATTTTGGGGACGACATCTTCATGTGTGGATTATATCTCGATCTGGCTTCTCACGTGTGAACTCTCATGCGAGTGATCATTGATGTATGCGAGGTTGAACTTGACGAGTACTTGGTTCATTTCATCCTAGGTTCCGGGTACCTTTTCATGTAGGCAGTGTGGGTTTGGACTGGCGAGCTGAGCTTGGGGGTCCTCGGAATATAGGCAGTGTACGGGGGCGGCTTGTAAGCCATGTCCTGTGGTGGCAATGTCAACATTCTTTTCAGTTTGGCGATATCCCATAACTAGTAATAAGTTGTAGTTTGTACGCGTTGAAGTGAACCTGGGTCGTGCTTATGGGTTACATGATATTGTGTCTAGTTGCTGGTTGTGTGGTTGTGTCCAAGGGTGTGGGCAGTAGAGCGTTATTATATATATACATGATGTGACGATATATAATGTATACATAATATATCATCAAATAGATATATATTGGGTTATTCTAGGTTGATTGGATATGTGTGTGCGGTTGAGTGTGAACGGTGTATGTATGTGTGTGTGTGTGTCTTAAAATGGAATACAAGGCCACCGTGACATGTCGCAGCGAGCTGCGTTTACCAAGAATGTGATATCATCATGTCGATTGATTGGAGAACAGTACTCTGAATAACACAGATTTTGCATTCACGAAAAAAGACATAATAGATTCGGGTTGAGCCATACACTTCTATCTGCTCATCACACTTAGTATTGCGAGGCACAAGGCCTCTGTAAGTCCCACTGGGCCCTGTTAGCAGCAAGATTGTTTGCCCTAAGTGAAGGCAGGCCCGACCGAGGCCTATTTTGGACTACTACGCAACTGGGGAAAATTCAGGCAGTTGCACAGTGCCAGTTGGTTGGAAGCGCCCAGGCCCAGGCTGCCCTTTATCGTCTGTAACTAGGGCAGGCCCTGGGCCGGATACACAACATGGACCGAACACAGTCGAGGGCAGTTGGGCGCTGGTAACCACCACAGGCCCTGGGCCTGATTCCTCTGTACCAAGGCTCAGGCTCCCAGGGCCTACCGGAAGCTTTTGGGCTGGGGCCCAGTACCGCATTATCGCATGCAGCAGCAGGCCACTTCGATATAGGGAAGGGCCTGCCCACTCATTGCGGATTCGGGCACTGGCTACATGCTGCGCAAGTGCTGCTGCGCTAACGCTGGCCAGCGCTCACTCGCTCACGGGCGAGCTGGAAGCAGCAGGCAGCCATATCCGAGCCGCGCTGCTGTATGCTGGATGGGGCGCATGGTGGTCCTTGGGTGCATGTGGCATCCGTGAGTTGGGGAACGAGGTTGTGAGTGATACGAGAGACATACCTGGTGCTTGAAGCGTACGGCATTGGCCAAGATCTGCTCGTACTTTGGGGAGCTGTTGACGTCATCGGCGGCATTGTAAATCAGGCTAAATAAGCTCTGCTATCTGTAGTCTGGGCACCGAGCGCCAGATAGGATATCGGCATTGGTTCTTCGTTGGTGATGATGAGACTATTCCAGCATTGTCAATTATGAGCTTTTGCTGTGCTCTTATTTTGTGAAACTCGTGATGCAATTCTGCTATTGGTTTGAGGTCACGAGTATCTGGTCTCATTTGCTATCGCTCATTTTCCTTGCAATTTGGTATCGGAGCTGTGGTACGGTGCGCTCATCTGGCGCTTGTCTTCTGGCTTTGCGGTACATGCACACGGTCTGTTGGGCGAGCGGTCGTGGGAGGTGTGTAGTGAGGAGGGTGGAGACAAGTGAGGCGACCCGGGAGGTGAGGGGTATCGCCAGGAAGGCTACTAAGTGGTGAATATTGGGTGTTTGCAGTGTGATGAGAACTATCTGATGTGTGATTGATGCTGAGGTGGAACGTCGATGCAATGCTGGTTGTGACGAAGCACTGGGTCACGGTCACCATGCCAACCCACTGGGAGTAGAGCACGGATCCTTTGCTGCTTTGTCCTTTGTCTGCTTGCTACGCTATACAGGGGTTCTGAGGGGCAGGCCAGCCCTATGGGGAAGATGAGACCGGATGTCTATAAATAAGTACCGGCGGGGACCTTCCATTGGCTGTGATCGTCGTCCTTTTTGGGACGTTAAATAATTCGTGAAGACTCGGGGGCCGTCCATAAAAACGCCTCCTGATCAGCCAATCGGTCGGTGTAAGGCTCGCTGCACGCGAGGATAAACACGGTGCAGGGCTGGCCAGCTCAGCAGGACTCGGGGCACAGGGGTGGGCCGTGTGCACACATTTAGACATGCACGTTGTTCTGGATTGCTCAGCGACGTTGACGACAAGAGACATTCATGAAGAACTAAGGAAGGGGTAGATTCCAGGTGATAAGTTCAGGCAAGATTCCATTCTGCAAACAGACCCAACAAACGATTCTATTTTCATTTTGATTAGTTAGATGGACAACCATTAACATCTGACAGACAACATAGTTTAGAACTGTTCTTTGTTCATTGTGCTTTCTGTTTGCGAACTAGACAAAGTCAAAGTAGTTTTGTTGGTAGGAATCTTAACTTACCTGTTGGACCCAAATGTTTAGTCTCTGACACAGCCACCGTTTTTTTTTGTTTTTTTTGTTTAAATCGGTTTGTACATCATGTTGCGGTAGGCATCAAGAGTGTCCTGGTGCAGGAAGTGTACAGTGTTGGAGCCTATGAGTGACAGGGAGGTCCCACAACCGGATGATAGGATCTTGCGATCGACAAGACACCTGATAGCCCACTTGGCCTTAGGACCAGAGGGCGACAGGTTGCTGTTCAACCAGCTTATGGAGAGACAGCAGCAGCAGCGGAGAGCTAGGGCAGCAGAGGCCAGCAGGGCATTCGCAAGTGAAGCCGCTGCTTCAGCAGCCATGGCAACTGCTGCGCAGCAGAGTTCCCAGGCTAGCAGTCAAGTACCTGTAGGGTCAACGGTCGTGCAGACCCAGAGTCAGTCCACTGGCGTGATGGCAAGCAACCCTATAGTGTTGACCTCCGAGGAGGTTGCCATACAGAGAGCAGCTATTCGTGAGGCACAGCTACAGCAGGCGATAGGGGAGATTAAGGTAGAGAAAGAGAACATGATTAGAGGAAGATCCAGGATGCAGCGGAGAGAAGCGGACATTAGTGAGTTAGAGAGAATGAACCTGACACATATGGATGCAGATGTGAGGACGTTGCGGACAACCCTGCTAAGTGTTGTAGAAATGCAGGACCACCACACGACCCTCCTTCAGGACGTTCAGCAGAGTCTGGCCGTTCTGGTCGGGTGTGCGCAAGCAGCTCCATCACCTTCCGGGCCCGGTGCGTGGCCCGTTCTACAGCCTCCTCCTTTTGTCTCACCAGTGACTGGAGTATCCCCATATGTCACTCCAGCATCGGGCCAAGCCGCTTCCCTAGGCATGCCCTTGGCAGGAGGGTTCTCAACTGGTCCTAGTGTGCAGATTCCTGTACAGAAAGTGCTTTCCCAACCTCCGTCGCAGGTTGTCGTAAGCGGGCAACCTGTTGTCTCGCAGTCTACACAGCCGCAGGGTACACAGGCGCAGCGTACACAGCCCCAGCAGCAGATAGTGCAACAGCTTGGTCCCCAAGATCCACAGCCTGGAGTGGGACAGGTGATGGGACAAAGTCAGTGGGTTCCAAAGACGGCCATCGCTGCTCCTAAGCCCTTCACAGGGGACAAGAGGGGCGAAGACCTCGACACATGGTTGAGCTCAGTGCCGGCCTACGTCAAGTGTAAACTTACCTTGCCACACGAGGAAGTGCTTGTGGCTGCCTCCTATCTAGAGGGGAGTGCAGCAAGATGGTTGAGTGGTTTAGTGCAGTTACAGGGATACGTCCACGACTTTCGCGCTTGGGCGGTCAACCAGAAACTGGATGACGTCCTCAAGTAGGTGGAAGACATGTGGCATGATCCTCAGGAGGCTAAAAAGGCCATTGATGCGATCCTGACTTTGCACAACAGGCAGTTTAAGTCAGTACGAGAGGCCACAGACGCAGTAGAGCGTCTGATCTGTGTCCCTGGGGTGCGCTATGACCCCCAAGTTTTACTCACCTCCTACCTGAGATGTTTTCGTATGTCTCTCAGGAATCAGATGGCAGGTGAGGCCAACATCAACATGCAGAACTTCCCCTCATTTAGCAAGAAGGCGCTAGACCTTGAAGCAAAGATAGGGCATGGTCGGACTCCCATGACGGATGGTAGGAAAAAGTCACTGCCGCCTAACTAGAAGGCGAAGTGCCGCACTATGTTCGTCGAGAGCGATGGTTCTACGATCGAGTTGGATGATGACTTCTAGGCGGGAGTGGGTTCAGAGGCAGGCAGCGTGGAGACTTCAGGGGGTGGAGTAGTCGTTGCCTCAGTTCAAAAAGGTAAGGCGACCAGTAGACGTCGTGGAGGCTGCCGGTCTAGGAGTCAAGTTGACCCCAACGCTCCTACATGAGAGAAAGCGGGTCTAACTAAGGACATGTGGAGAGACCGGTACACCCGGGAAGCTTGCATTCGTTGTGGCTAATATGGCCATAATCAATTCAAGTGTCGTAACAAAAAGGTGACCGAGAAGATCCTGCCTACGATGGGGCAGGCATTGGGATCCTCTGCTCCCGTTGGTAGCAATGTGGTCAGCAGTTCTGGCACTGCTCCAGGAAACGCGTCGGGGGTCGAGGTGGTGGACACACCCTCACCATCTCAAGAGATGGCCCAAGCGACTGACTTCATCCTCGTCCCGCAAACACATTCAGACTCATCGAGCCTCTGTTCAATGAATGTGTTTGAGTCCTTAGAGGAGCTAGAGGAGTGGTTCAAATCAGACCCGCTAGCTTCTTGAACGGCATTGGCAAAAGCCCCTAGGAGTGAGATGTTCGTCGGTGAGGTAGTCATCGGCGGCCGTAAGGCCGGGGCCTATTATGACACTTGCTCGACTAGGAACTTCATTAGTCGCGCGTGCGTTGAGAGGCTGCGCTTACAGGGGCGAGTGCAGCGCCCGAGTCGACATGTGGAGTCGACCTGTGCCAACAAACAACGCATGGTAGTCCATGACTACCTTCAGAACGTAAAGTGTTGTTTCCCGTACCCGGGAGGGCAATCGAGACATCGCGTTTCGTTCCTAGTTAGCGATGATCTCCCAATAGACATCCTGTTGGGTATGTACTCTCTTTCGGTTCTGCAGCCCCAGTTTGACTGGGACCGAAAAGTGGTCAAGCACACTTTGCCAGCTGGGGGGACCACCGGATTACGTAAGTTTAAGGCCAGTAGTCTGATCGAGTCTTACGGATGCATGTGTGCGGCAACATTCTATAACTATTATAAGCAAAATCTGGAGGAGGCTGTGTATCTAGTTTACGTCTTTGTAGTAGGCAAGCCAGTGAAAAAGCCGTCGGAGATAGGGAGTAGTTGCTAAATACCCTGATCTATTTGAAGAGCCGAAACGGGTGGTTGAGAGGGAGGTCGTCCACGCAATAGACATTATCATCCCGAAGGGTAGGATCTATCGGATGTCTCCAGGCGAGCTTGATGAGCTTTGCCGACAACTCAAGGAACTCGTAGAGAAGGGTTGGATTCGGCCGAGTGTCTCCCCTTACGGTTCTCCAGTCGTATTTGTGCAGAAGAAGGGGGGAACTCTAAGGATGTGCATTCACTATAGGGGCCTCAATGCCATCACTGTCAAGAATCGAGAGCCCCTACGACACATCGATGACTTGCTAGATAGGGTGTAAGGGTGTCGGTACTTCAGTAAGATAGATTTGAAGTCTGTGTACCATCAGATTGCAAACCGGTCCGAGGATCAACACAAAACCACATTTCAGACCAGGTACGGTCTGTACGAGTTTGTGGTGATGCCTTTCGGCCTCTTCAATGCTCCTGGCACCTTTCAGCATGCTATGAATCGGATCTTTCATGACTACTTGGATAAGTTTGTCATCGTGTACCTCGATGACATACTTATTTTTAGTAGGACTGTCGAGGAGCATGTTGCGCACTTAGACAAAGTCCTCAGTCTCCTTCGGCAACACAAGTTCAAGATCAACGGGGAGAAATGCGAGTTTGGTCGCACCCGGATCTTGTACTTGGGTCATGATATTTTTGCGGAGGGTTTGAAGCCCGATGACGTGAAGGTGGCCAACATTCGTGACTGGCCGCGTCCTCAGTCTGTGACTGAGATGAGGTCCTTCTTAGGGATGACCGGCTACTATCGCAACTTTGTGAAGAACTATAGCATAGTCGCCACCCCTTTGACGGACCTGACTCACCTTGACACCCCATGGGAGTCGACAAATAGGTGTGAGGCTGCTTTCAGACATCTGAACCATGCACTGACGCATCATGAGGTCTTGAAACTTCCTGATCCTGACAAGCCGTTTATAGTAACCATGGATGCTAGCCAATATGGCATAGGCGCCATGCTCGTGCAGCAGGAGGGGCCAAAGTTGAGGCCAGTCGAGTACATGTCCAAGAAGATGCCCTCTCAGAAGTTGGCTAAGTCCACTTATGAGAAAGAGCTTTACGCGATTTACAAGGCACTGACCCATTGGAGACATTACCTCCTTGGGAGGTTCTTCATCGTCAGGACCGATCATCAGACCCTAAAGTGGATGAGAACCCAGCTTGTACTTTCTGATGCCTTGAAGCGCTGGATCAAAGTCATTGAACACTATGACTTCGGACCCCAGTATCTGAAGTGGGAGTCCAATAAAGTTGTTGATGCCTTATCACGTAGGCCTGATTTCTCTCGTGCGCTGATTACTGAGTTCGGGCTTGCAGACGATGTCACTCGTTCTATGCTGGAAGCCTATCCCGAGGATGCGTTTATGTCTGAGATCATGCGCAGACTCGAGGCGAGGGACAAAGTGACTTCTGTCGAATTTGAGTTGGTCAACGACTTGCCGTTCCTTGAGAAGGCCGGGAATAAACGTTTGTGTGTGCCTAGTCGAGAGTCTTTGCGTAGTTTATTTTTAGGAGAGTGTCATGACGCCATAGGACATGTTGGATATAAGAAGACTGCAGCCAATCTACTGCAGCAGTTCTGGTGGCCCACGATGATGAGAGATGCCAAGCTGTACGTGGAGACTTGTCATGTCTGTCAAAGAGACAAGCCACGTACACAGGCCCCTCTTGGGCTTCTCAAGCCCCTTCCGATGCCGGAAAGGCCCGGTGAGAGCCTTTCCATGGACTTCATGGACACGCTGGTCACCACCAAGGGTGGAATGAGACACATCTTCGTTACCGTGGATAGGTTTAGTAAGTACGCTAGGTTAGTTGTAATGCCAGAGACAACAAAGACCGAGTACGTCATTACGCTGTTTAAGGAAAACTGGGTCAAAGACTTTGGCCTGCCAAAGTCTATTGTGAGTGACCGGGATATTAGATTCACGAGTGAGTTGTGGAAGGCCGCAGCTGCAGAACAAGGAACACAGCTGCAGATGACATCTGGACACCATCCAGAGGCAAACGGGCAAGCAGAGTAGTTGAACCGCGTTGTACAACTCCTGCTTAGGCACTACAGCAAGCCTAATCAGGTGGACTGGGATGAGGAGCTTGCTCTCATTGCCAGCCTCTATTAATAACGCAGTGCACAACGCCACTGGGGTGAGCCCTAACAGTTTGCTACTGAATTTCAAGCCTAGACTGCCCCTAGACTTCCACTGCCTGAGAACCAGTCAATTGCTGCACCTGGCACACTAGAATTTGCCTATCGATATGAACAACTGATGTAGCAGGCGGTGGAACAGATGCACAAGGCACAGGCGGCGATGATAGAATCAGAGAACAAGCACCACCGCCCATCAACATTCCAGATAGGGGATATGGTCTGGGTTAAGTCTTCAGAACTGGGACAGGAGCACGGGATCTCCCGCAAGCTCATGCCACAAAATTTTGGACCCTGGGAGGTTCTGGATATAGTCAGAGATGATCAGGATGGTCCGTCATATGTAGTTCAGATCCCTGGTCACCTTCGCACTTACCCTGTTTTTCACGCTTTCAAGCTTGCACCATTCAAGGAAACTGACCAGTTCCCCTCGCGACGCTCAATTCTGCCCCCAACCATGGACGGAGAAGTCGACATCGATGACATCGTGGACCACAGGGAAATGCCGGCTCCAAGACCTTCAGGCAGGGGACGTCCTCCGAAGCCGAAGCTGCAGTACCGCGTTCGGTTCAAACACCATACTGATCCAAAGGAGGATAGATGGTTCACTCGGGAGGAACTAATGCAGACCGCTCCACATGTTGTCGCCCACTACGAGAAGTTGTTGCGGAAAGGAAAGCGCCAGATTGAATGAACTTCTCAGAGGACTAGCGAAGTATGGAGGAGGGAAAGCGAGGCAGAAGGCCTCTGTAAGCCCCATTGGGCCATGTTAGCAGCAAGGTCGGCCGCCCTAAGTGAAGGCAGGCCCGACCGAGGCCTATTTTGGACTACTACGCAACTGGGGAAAATTTAGGCAGTTGCGCAGCGCCAGTTGGTTGGAAGTGCCCAGGCCCAGGCTGCCCTTTATCGTCTGTAACTAAGGCAGGCCCTGGGCCGGAGACACAACATGGATCGAACACAGTAAAGGGCGGTTGGGCACTCGTAACCACCATAGGCCCTGGGCCTGATTCCTTTGTACCAAGGCTCAGGCTCCCGGGGCCTACTGGAAGCTTCTGGGCTGGGGCCCAGTACCACATTATCGCACGCAGCAGCAGGCGACTTCGATATAGGGAAGGGCCTGCCCACACATTGGGGATTCGGGCACTGGCTGCGTGCTGCGCAAGCGCTGCTGCGCTAAGGCTGGGCAGCGCTCACACGCTCACGGGCGAGCTGCAAGGAGCAGGCAGCCATAGCCGAGCTGCGCTGCTGTATGCTGGATGGGGCGCATGGTGGTCCTTGGGTGCATGTGGCATCTGTGAGTTGGGGAACAAGGCTGTGAGTCATACGAGAGACATACCTGGTGCTTGAAATGTAGGACATTGGCCGAGATCTGCTCGTACTTTGGGGAGTTGTTGACGTCATCGGCGACATTGTAGATTAGGCTAGATAGGATCTGCCATCTGTAGTCTGGGCGCTGAGCGCCAGATAAGATATCGACATTGGTTCTTCGTTGATGATGATGAGACTATTCCAGCATTGTCAATTATGAGCTTTTGTTGTGTTCTTATTTGGTGAAACTCGTGATGCAATTCTGCTATTGGTTCGAGGCCACGACTATCTGGTCGCATGTGTATGATGCTGTTTGATTTCTGAAGTTCGCTATCGCTCATTTTCCTTCCAATTTGGTATCGGAGTTGTGGTACGGTGCACTCATCTGGCGCTTGTCTTCTGCCTTTGCGGTACGTGCACGAGGTGTGCTGGGCGAGCGGTCGTGGGAGGTGTGTAGTGAGGAGGGTGGAAACAAGTGAGGCGACCCGGAGGTGAGGGGTATCACCAGGAAGGCTACTAAGTGGTGAATATTGGGTGTTCGCAGTGTGATGAGAACTATTTAATGTGTGATTGATGCTGAGGTGGAACGACGATGAAATGTTGGTTGTGTCGAAGCAGCGATTGATCATCACAATCAACATCGGGTCATCTGGTGAGAATATATGTGGTTGGGGGCAGCTATTTTGAGGTACGTTGCACCTAACCTTATCTACCCTCTTCGACACTCCTTACCTTCAGGATGTGTGTTCTGTCTTGAGAGTCCTTTCATGTGAGGAGTCTTGTGCGCTCAACCTTGAGAGTCGTCAGCCTTCACGTGGAGCATTTGGAAGGAGAGGGCGGTGCTATCTGAAGGGCGCTGGACGAAGTACTGGGTCACGGTCATCATGCCAACACACCAGGAGTAGAGCACGGATGCTTTGTTGCTTTGTCCTTTGTCTGCTTGCAGCTCTATAGAGGGGTTCTGAGGGGCAGGCCAGCCCTATGGGGAAGACGAGACCGGACGTCTATAAATAAGTACCGGCGGGGACCTTCCATTGGCTGTGATCGTCGTCCTGGTTGCGACGTTAAATTATTCCTAAGGACTTCGGGGGCCGTCTGTAAAAACGCCTCCTGATCAGCCAATCGATCGGAGTAAGGCTCGCTGCACGCGAGGATAAACACGGTGCAGGGCTGGCCAGCTCAGCAGGACTCGGGGCACAGCGGTGGGCCGTGTGCACACCTTTAGACATGCACACTGTTCTGGATTGCTCAGGGACGTTGACGACAAGAGACATTCAGGAAAAACTGAGGGAGGGGTAGATTTCAGGTGATAAGTTTGGGCAAGATTCCATTAGGCAAACAGACCCAACAAACGATTCTATTTTCATTTTGATTAGTTAGATGTACAACCATTAACATCTGACAGACAACATAGTTTAGAACTGTTCTTTGTTTATTGTGCTTTCTGTTTGCGAACTAGTCAAAGTCAAAGTAGTTTTGTTTGTAGGAATCTGAACTTACCTGTTGGACCCAAATGTTTAGTCTCTGACACAGCCACCTGTTGTAGCCTATGAGTGACAGGGAGGTCGCACAACCGGACGATAGGATCTTGCGATCGACAAGACGCCCGATAGCCCACTTGGCCTTAGGACCAGAGGGCGTCAGGCTGCTCTTCAGCCAGCTTAGGGAGAGACAGCAGCAGCAACTGAGAGCTAGGGCAGCAGAGGCCAGCAGGGCATTCGCAAGTGAAGCCGCTGCTTCAGCAGCCATGGCAACTGCTGCGCAGCAGAGTTCCCAGGCTAGCAGTCAAGTACCTGTAGGGTCAACGGTCGTGCAGACCCAGAATCAGTCCACTGGCGTGATGGCAAGCCACCCTATAGTGTTGACCTCCGAGGAGGTCGCCATACAGCGAGCAGCTATTCGTGAGGCACAGCTACAACAGGCGATAGGGGAGATTAAGGCAGAGAAAGAGAACATGATTAGAGGAAGATCCAGGATGCAGCGGAGAGAAGCGGACATTAGTGAGTTAGAGAGAATGGACCTGATGCATATGGATGCAAATGTGAGGACATTGCGGACAACCCTGCTAGGTGTTGTAGAAATGCAGGACCACCACACGGCCCTCCTTCAGGACATTCAGAAGAGTCTGGCCATTCTGGTCGGGTGTGCGCAGGCAGCGACATCAGTGTTTGGGCCCGGTGCCTGGCCCATTGTACAGCCTCGTCCTTTTGTCCGCGGAGGGTTTGAAGCCCGATGACGCGAAGGTGGCCAGCATCGCAGCTTTGTGAAGAACTATAGCATAGTCGCCGCCCCTTTGACGGACATGACTCGCCTTGACACCCCATGGGAGTGGACAAATAGGTGTGAGGCTGCTTTCAGACATCTGAACCATGCACTGATGCATCATGAGGTCTTGAGACTTCCTGATCCTGACAAGCTGTTTATAGTAACCACGAATGCTAGCCAAAATGGCATAGGCGCCGTGCTCGTGCAGCAGGTGGGGGCCAAAGTTGAGGCCAGTTGAGTACATGTCCAAGAAGATGCCCTCTCAAAAGTTGGCTAAGTCCACTTATGAGAAAGAGCTTTACACGATTTACAAGGCACTGACCCATTGGAGACATTACCTCCTTAGGAGGTTCTTCATCGTCACGACTGATCATCAGACCTTGAAGTGGATGAGAACCCAGCCAGTACTTTATGATGCCTTGAAGCGCTGGATCGAAGTCGTTGAACAGTATGACTTCAAACCCCAGTATCTGAAGGGGAAGTACAATAAAGTTGCTGATGCCATATCACGTAGGCCTGATTTCTCTCGTGCGCTGATTACTCAGTTCGGGCTTGCATATGATGTCACTCGTTCTATGGTGGAAGCCTATCGCGAGGATCCGTTTATGTCTGAGATCATCCGCAGACTCGAGGTGAAGGACAAAGTGACTTCTGCCGAGTTTGAGTTGGTCAACGGCTTGCTGTTCCTTGAGAAGGTCGGGAATAAACGTTTGTGTGTGCCTAGTCGGGAGTCTTTGTGTAGTTTATTTTTAGGAGAGTGTCATGACGCCACATGACGTTTTGGATATAAGAAGACTGCAAGCAATCTGCTACAGCAGTTCTGGTGGCCCACGATGATGAGAGATGGCAAGCTGTACGTGGAGACTTGTCAGGTCTGTCAGAGAGACAAGCCACGTACACAGGCCCCTCTTGGGCTTCTCAAGCCCCTTCCGATGCCGGAAAGGCCCGGTGAGAGCCTGTCCATGGACTTCATGGACACGCTGGTCACCAGCAAGAGTGGAATGAGACACATTTTTGTTACCGTGGATAGCTTTAGTAAGTACGCTAGGTTCGTTGTAATGCCAGAGACAACAAAGACCGAGTACGTCGTTAGGCTGTTTAAGGAAAACTGGGTCAGAGACCTTGGCCTGCGAAAGTCTATTGTGAGCGACCGAGATGTTAGATTCACGAGTGAGCTGTGGAAGGCCGCAGCTGCAGAACAAGGAACGCAGCTGCAGATGACATCTGGAAACCATCCAGAGGCAAACGGGCAAGCAGAGTAGTTGAACCGCGCTTTACAACACCTGCTCAGGCACTACATCAAGCCTAATCAGGTGGACTGGGATGAGAAACTTACTCTCATTGCCAGCCTTTATAATAACGCAGTGCACAGCGCCACTGGGGTGAGCCCTAACATTTTGCTACTGACTTTCAAGCCTAGACTGCCCCTAGAGTTTCTACTGCCTGAGAACCAGCCAACTGCTGCACCTGGCACACTAGAATTTGCCTATCGATATGAACAACTGATGCAGCAGGCGGTGGAACAGATGCACAAGGCACAGGCGATGATAGAATCAGAGAACAAGCACCACCGACCATCAACATTCCAGATAGGGAACAGGGTCTGGGTTAAGTCTTCAGAACTGGGACAGGAGCACTGGATCTCCCGCAAGCTCATGCCACAGTATTTTGGACCCTGGGAGGTTCTGGATATAGTCAGAGATGATCCGGATGGCCCATCATATGTAGTTCAGATCCCTGGTCACCTTCGCACTTACCATGTTTTTCACGCCTCCAAGCTTGCACCATTCAAGGAAACTGACCAGTTCCCCTCGCGACGCTCAATTCTGCCCCCAACCATGGATGTAGAGGTCAACATCGATGACATCGTGGACCACAGGGAATTGCCGGCTCCAAGACCTTCAGGCATGGGACGTCCTCCGAAGACAAAGCTGCAGTACCGCGTTCAGTTCAGACACCATACGTATCCAAAGGAGGATAGATGGTTCACTCGGGAGGAACTAATGCAGACCGCTCCATAGGTTGTCGCCCACTACGAGAAGTTGTTGCGGAAAGGAAAGCGCCAGATTGAATGAACTTCTCAGAGGACTAGCGAAGTATGGAGGAGGGAATGTGAGGCAGAAGGCCTCTGTAAGCCTCACTGGGCCCTGTTAGCAGCCAGGTCGGCCGCCCTAAGTGAAGGCAGGCCCGACCGAGGCCAATTTTCGACTACTACGCAACTGGGGAAAATTCAGGCAGTTGCACAGCGCCAGTTGGTTGGAAGCGCCCAGGCCCAGGCTGCCCTTTATCGTTTGTAACTAGGGCAGGCCCTGGGCCGGATACACAACATGGACCGAACACAGTCAAAGGCAGTTGGGCGCTGGTAACCACCACAGGCCCTGGGCCTGATTCCTCTGTACCAAGGCTCAGGCTCCCGGGGCCTACCGGAAGCTTCTGGGCTGGGGCCCAGTACCGCATTATCGCACGCAGCAGCAGGCGACTTGGATATAGCGAAGGGCCTGCCCACGCATTGGGGATTTGGGCACTGGCTTCATGCTGCGCAAGCGCTGGCCAGCGCTCACGCGCTCACGGGCGAGCTGGAAGGATCAGGCAGCCATAGCCGAGCTGCGCTGTTGTATGCTGGATGGGGCGCATGGTGGTCCTTGGGTGCATGTGGCATCTGTGAGTTGGGGAACAAGGTTGTGAGTGATACGAGAGACATACCTGGTGCTTGAAGCGTACGACATTGGCCGAGATCTGCTCGTACTTTGGGGAGCTGTTGACGTCATCGGCGGCATTCTAGGTTAGGCTAGATAGGATCTTCCATCTGTAGTCTGGGCGCCGAGCGCCAGATAGGATATCGACATTGGTTCTTCGTTGATGATGATGAGATTATTCCAGCATTGTCAATTATGAGCTTTTGCTGTGCTCTTATTTGGTAAAACTCGTGATGCAATTCTGCTATCGGTTCGAGGTCACGATTATCTGGTCTCATGTGTATTATGCTGTTTGATTTCTGAAGTTCGCTATTGCTCATTTTCCTTGCAGTATTGCTTTCAAGCAAAAAAAAGGAACCATCATCCCGGGGAGGGTGGAAATCTGAGCACAAAGTCGGGAGGAAGGGAGGAGAGACGGGCTCGCTAGAATGAGAATGGGGGTGTGGGGTTGGTAAATATGAAAACATAAGAGGAACACCAAGCACCTTCAAAGAACAATCGTCGCTTAAAGGTTACACAAGAGGTTTCAGATATTATCGTATACCAAGTGATGCTTAGATACTATCAACAATCCCTATGAGCGTTTTTTCCTCGCTTGGTACTCAGCATCCGCACTTTTTTTGCGAGCGCATTTCCAACATCCGGTCGTGATCGATCCTGGAGATTCCCTATGGACATCCATGATTGTGTGGACAACTTCGGTAACATTCATGCAACCCTCCTTCACTCGCGGCCTAATCTTTCCCTGACCCCAACGAATGAGCAAGGATTTTTGACGAGCACAGGATAACAACTAAGATGTACACAGGACACAACCTATCGAGGGTAATTCCAAGGACGCCCGCCAGCAAGACTTGTTCCCTCATCACGAACTTAAACAGCAAGAACTCCAAGGAAAAGCCATGCTTAAATCCATACTTTATTACCGAGAGCTTCCCTGTGCAACCTTGCTGCATATCCATTGTGTTGCAACAGACGCATCACGAATGAAGTGGGGACATGCACAAGTGTGGGAACGATTATTTGAAGTATGTACACAGTGTGAGGATTGAGCCCTCAAGAAGGGGCCTTGCCATGATGTACATGTTCTGGGCTAAGGCCCCAGCAAGCCTCATGCCCGCCCTAAGTGAAGGCGGGCCAGCAAATCAACAAGAGCCCTCTGTGCAAACATTTCACGAAGTGGGGTCCATACAGTTGCAGCATGCCAGTTGGTTGGAGGCACCGAGTATCGGAGCTCTGCAAATGCAGAAATCCCAGGGCCCCAGAGTTGGTTAGGCCCGGGGCACATAAACGTGAGGCCGACATTGCATACTGGAAATAGAGGCCGAAAATCCCAATGGGATACCGGTCCACTATCTGAATCTGGACGCAGGCCTGGATGAAAGAGGCACAACTGTACTGCGTGGGCCCCAACCGCATTGGGCCTGGGTGCAGGTACCGGGGCCCAGGCGCAGGCTCAAGGGAGGCCGCCCACACACAACACTGGCATATAGGCAAGCAGGGCGAGTGGGCAGGGATCTTGGCCATTGCGGGCAATGCCGGCACGCTGCGGGAATGCGAGGTGCTGTGCTGCGCTAGGCTGAGGTAGGCAGGCTGGCGCTAAGCGGTAGAGCGCTGCCTGGGCGCAGGGCGCTGGCGGCCATAGTCGGGCTGCCTGAGGGTGCAGAGGAGGTGAAGGGCGAAGGTGGTTCTTCGGAGGTGAAGGGCTCTGTGTGGGATAACAAGGGAGAGTGAGGGTGAAGAGTGGGACGTACCTGGTGGAGAGGAAGTCGGCATTGGTGTTGACATCATCACTCGCTGGTCGTCAAGTTGTCTGGTTGCTTTCATGCTGTAGTTGTAGTGATAGGCTGTAGAGTAGGTAGGGCGCCTGGCGCCATTCAAGAGAGAGAGCTACATTGGGTTATGCTGTTGGTGTTGCCCGATTGGGCTTGGACATTGACTCACGATTCTTCTGTATCGTTCTCAAATGGATGGTTACTCGGTTCCATTGTGCTATCTGCTCTTGCTTTGACTACTTGGACTTCAGTGTGATTTTGCAATCTGGATTTCTGTGCTTCGTCCACATTCATGTTCCTTGCANCCATTGTGCTATCTGCTCTTGCTTTGACTACTTGGACTTCAGTGTGATTTTGCAATCTGGATTTCTGTGCTTCGTCCACATTCATGTTCCTTGCATTTTGGTATCAGAGCTGGTTTGATTCGCCACTTACCTTGGTGCGCTGGCGTTATACAGACTTGGTGCGTTGACGATGCTTCGTCGCAGTTGGTTCTTGTGACGTCAGGCCATACTAGGCGCACTACCTGGGTAGAGAGGTGTGCGCCGGAAGGCTAAGACGACATTGATTGCCGTGGTGACAGGTGGAATGTATGATTGGTGATGAGAGCATGCTGATGTGGCATTCGGCTGAGGTGGCACTGCATTGCGTTGTGGGTGGTATGGAGGCCAAGACCGGTCATCAAATGCACACTCAGCTCAATTGGTGAGAAATCTGTGGTTGGGGGCAGCTATCTCCAGGTACGTTGTTCCCTTATCTACTCTCTCAATCTCTTCTTACCGCGAGGAAGTGAGTCCAACTTGAGAGTCCTCTCCTTTGGTGAGGTGTCGTGAGCGCGCTACCTTGAGGGACGACAATCTTCCCGGAAGCATCTGGAAGGAGAAAGGGCGGTGCCTCTGAAGGGCCCTGGTCGAAGCACTGGGTCACGGTCACCATGCCAACCCAATGGGAGTAGGTCACGCATGCGATGGCCGCTTGTCCATTTTGGCACTATGCTACGCTATAGAAGTCCTGCCGGGTGTGCCAGCGTTTTATGAGACGCTTACCAGACCGTCTATAAACATTTCTGGTTGGGGACTCGGATTGATTCTGGTTGTGATCGCCATCCTGACTGCGACGTTAAATAATTCCTGAGGAGATGGGGGCTCTCCTAAATTTCCTCCTGATCAGCCAGATCAACTGGGTATAAGGCTCATTCCGTACGAGGGTAAATAAGAGTGGACTGGCTGGCTTGCTCGGCAATGACTTGGGCACAGGGGTGGGCCGACAATACACACGAAGACACTGCTGCTCAAAGATGCTCTTCGGTATGTTGGATTGAGGGGAGGGTAGGTTCTAATTGGTGCTCAACTGGAAACACAACCATACCCACTACTCATACATCTGCAACATAGTCTTGTTTTATTATTGATTAGTTGGTTGACAACTGCTAACACCTCACAAACGTATTAGAGTAGGACTGTTGTATACTACCATAGCCAGTTCTATCTAATGCTGCTGTAAGTGAACTAATCACAGTGGAACTACACTATGTTGACAGTCTTTTGTGAATGTTGTAGGCTGCCACTTGATCGGTAAAGTAGGGGAACTGCCGGACATATTTATTTTTAGAAAATTAGGTGTCGGTTTGACACATGCTGTGGTAGGACTCCAGCAGGGAGTTGTAGTGTAGATAGTGTTTGCCTAACTGATGAGCGGGTCAGCCACCGATGAGGGTAGAGTTGACAATGTGAGACTTACACGTTCGGGAGCACTTAGGGTCCCAAACGTGTTCCAGACCCTACAACCGGGAGACGAAGCACGGCTTCGTGCCGAACGTAGAGCCCGTGCTCTTGCAGCAGCGAGGGCAGCAGCGAACCTAGCAGCTAGAGATCAGGCAGCAGCAGCCAGAGCAGCAGCAATGGCTAACGGCGCAAGCTCTGCTTTGTCCTCTGCTGCATCCTCGTCAGGGACCCTGTTGGGAATGCCCTCAGGGCCCGCGGGTACTTCCGAATCAATAGGTGCTGGACAGTCCACAAGTCAAATGGCGGGCTCGCAGTTAAGCCCGTTGACCCCACGCGGTAGGGAGCTTCTAGAGCTCCAACAGGTCGAAAGGATCCGCGAGCGGTTAGAGAGGGAACTGAAGCAAGCAACCGATAGAGAAAGAGAGAGAAAAAATAGAGCAGCCAGGCTTGATGCGTTAGAGGCAGACAAGGCTGCACTGGAGGGTTTGGATGAGACAACAATGTCTGGCCAATTGAAAGTGTTGAAGAACAGCATGCTGTCGCTGCATGCGCATGTGGACAGCAGACTAGACTTCATGCAGAACTCTCTTGACCAGATCTTAGACCTTTTGCAAAGGCCAGGATTTAGGCCAGCAGCACAGTCGTCGTTGCCGTTACCGGCGATGTCAGGCCCCTTTCCGGTACAAGCTGGCACGCAGCCAAGTGGTACGTCTGCAGCAGTCTCACAGACTGTTGCTTCTTCTTCTTTTGGGTCAGCGGTGGTTGCTACACCATCACCGCAACAACCTGTTCCTCAACAGGGACAGCAGCAAGGTCAATGGTACCCGAAGACCCCTATGAAAGCGCCCCTTGCCTTCTCCGGAGAGAAGAAGGACGAGGAACTCAACACATGGTTGAGAACGGTTCCAGTATGGGTAAAGGCGAAGAGGACTTTGCAGGAGGAGGAGGTGATTACTGCTGCATCTATCTTGAGGGTAAGGCAGCCAAATGGCTGGATGGTTTAGTTTCAAAGGCTGGGTACAGACGACGCATGGCGGACTGGGCTAAGACCATTACGTTAGACCAGTTCTTAGAAATTGTAGAAGCTCGTTGGCACAATCCACAGTAGGCACAAATTGCCACTGATGCGATAAACAGACTAGACCAAAGAAAGTTCAAGTCAGTCAGAGAGCTTACGACTACCGTAGAGAGCTTCATCGTTGTTCCCGGCATAAACTACGATGACCAATTCTTGTTGACCACGTTTGTGAGATGTCTCCCAGAGAATCTCAGAAACTTGCTGCCCAGCGAGGCCCGCCTTGAGTATCCCTCATTTGAGACCTTGTCTAGAAAAGCCTTAGATTTAGAGGCCACTCTAGGAAGTGCTCAACCTTCTTCAGTAGACGCGAAGAAGAAGAAGAGTCCACAGGAATGGAAGAAGAAGGGGGCTAAATTGATGATGGTTGAGTCCGATGGGACTCAAATAGAGATCGACGAGCTCACCGACGTTTCAGAGTACGACGGTGAGGAGATCGCTGAGGGTAGCACCCTCACCGCAGTAGTTAAGGCTAAGGCTGGTGGCCGAGTGAAGGGCCATCAAAAGAGCCAAGGGAAGGCCGCCTCCAATCAGACCAAAGTTGCTGATTGGGTCAAGGCAGGTCTTGATCAAGAAGTGTGGCGGGACCGCCGAGTGCGTGGTGCTTGTATTAACTGTGGTGAATATGGACACACCCAGTACAAGTGCCAGAACGCAAAGGTCACGCAGAAGATACCTCCTAAGATGGGGGCATCTTCTTCCCAGGCTTCTAGCTCGGGAAACACGTGAGGCCGGTGGAAGTTTTAGCTGCTTCTACTCATGGTGAAGTGGGCCAGATACCCTCCCCACTTCATGAGATGGCCATAGCTAATGACTCTTTAGTCACCCTGCAGACTCATCCAGACCAAACTATGCTTTGTACGTTGGATGTGTCTGAAACCTTAGAAGATTTGGAAAGTGAGTGGTCAAACAAGGACCCTCGCGAATCTTGGGTGGCACTAAGGAAAGGTCCTAGAGGGGAACATTTCGTAGTGGAAGTTGATGTAGGAGGCCGCAAATGTGGTGCCTTCATAGACATCGGCTCCACGCGGAACTATATACGTCGCGACTGTTTGGAAAGGCTGCGCCTACAGGACCGGGTACAACACCTTAGTAGACCAGTAGCATCTACTTTGGCCAATAAGGAGCGCATGATTGTCGCAGACTATATTAAGGATGTAGTCTGCACCTTCTCCTATGGAGGAGGGGAACTTAATCACAAGATTTCGTTCCTAATTAGCGACGACTTACCATTCGACATGTTGTTAGGAATGTACTACCTTGAGGTTGCCAAGCCCCAGTTTGACTGGGACAAGAAGGTGCTAAAGCATAAGTTGCCTAGTGGAAGAACAGTGAGACTGACTAAGTTTAAAGCCAGTAGTATAATTGATACCTATGGCTGCTTGTGCGCATCAACGTTCTACAACTACTACAAACAGAACCAAGAGGAGGGTATGTACCTAGTGTATGTCTCTGAGAAAGGGGTGGCCGTTAAAACACCCCCAGAGATAGAACACGTTGTTGCTAAGTTCCCTGATCTGTTCACGGAGCCTACAGGAGTCGTAGAAAGGGAGGTTGTCCACGCCATAGAAATCATTCCAGGGAGTAAAACCCCAAAGGGAAGGATCTATAGGATGCCTCCGTCCGAGTTGGATGAACTTCGACGACAACTGAAAGAGCTGACAGAGAAGGGATGGATCCGACCGAGTACTTCCCCCTACGGATCGCCAGTACTATTTGTACCAAAGAAGGGGGGTACATTGAGGACGTGCATTGATTATAGAGGCCTCAATGCCATCACAGTGAAGAACGCAGAGCCTCTACCTCGCATAGACGACCTATTGGATAGGGTGCAGGGATGTAAGTACTATAGTAAGATAGACTTAAAGTCCAGCTACCATCAAATCGCAATAAGATCCGAGGATCAGCACAAGACTGCTTTTCAGACCAGATACGGTCTGTATGAGTTTGTAGTGATGCCCTTTGGTCTTTGCAATGCGCCGGGTACATTCCAGCACGCTATGAATATGATCTTTCATGACCACTTATATAAGTTTGTCGTTGTCTACTTGGACGATATTCTTATCTTCAGTAAGTCTGTCGAAGAGCATGCACAACACATTGAGACTGTACTCTCACTCTTGCGACAACACAAGTTTAAGGTCAACCTAGAGAAGTGTGAGTTCGGACGTACTAAGATCTTATATTTGGGTCGTGAAGTATCCGCGGAAGGGATTAGGTCGGAAGATGCGAAGGTGGCTAGTATAAGGGACTGGCCACGACCTCAAACTGTTACCGAGGTCAGATCTTTCTTAGGAATGTGCGGCAATTATAGGAACTTTGTGAAAAATTATTCCACAGTCGCCTCTCCTTTGACAGATCTAACTCGACTTGACACGCCGTGGGACTGGAGTGATGAGTGCGAGGCTGCTTTCGAACGATTGAAGCATGCACTCATGAATCATGAGGTTCTCATGGTGCCCGATCCTCAAAAGCCATTCATAGTGACCACTGACGCAAACCAATATGGCATAGGCGCAGTGCTGGCTCAGCAGGATGGGAAGAAGTTGAGACCGATTGAGTACATGAGCAAGAAAATGCCATCAAAGAAACTGGCAAAGTCCACCTACGAAAGGGAACTCTATGCTCTTTACAAAGCACTTGTCCATTGGAGGCACTTCCTGTTGGGACGGTTTTTCTACTTGAGAACTGACCATCAGACCCTCAAATGGATCAAGACTCAACCGGCTCTCTCTGGTGCACTCAAGCGATGGATTGAGGTCATAGATCAGTATGACTTCAAGCTAGAGTATCTGAAGGGAGAGTACAACAAGGTTGCAGATGCGCTGTCCCATAGAGCAGACTACCTAGGGGCGCTAGTTTTTGAGTTTGGTGTATCTTAGGAAGTAACTCTGTCATTGGTGGGAGCCTATCAGGAAGATCCTGTCATGATGGACATCATCCGCAAACTTCAGGCAAAAGACAAGGCCACAGAGAATGAGTTTGTGGTGGTGGATGGGTCACTCTTTCTTGATAAGGCCGGGTGTAAAAGGTTAGTAGTTCCATCGAGTGAGAGTTTGCGTAGTTTATTTCTAGGGGAATGTCATGACGCAACTGGACACTTCGGCTACAAAAAGACAAGTGTCAATCTAGTACAGCGATTTTGGTGGCCTGGAATGCTAGATGACGCAAAGAAGTATGTAGAGACCTGTCAGGTCTGTCAGCGGGACAAGCCGCGAACTCAAGCACCGCCTGGGTTGCTAAAGCCCTTGCCTATCCCTGCTGGTCCAGGACAGAGTGTTTCCATGGACTTCATGGACACCCTGGTGACTAGTAAGAGTGGCAAGAGGCATATCTTTGTCATCATTGATCGATTCACCAAATACGCTAGACTAATTGCCATGCCAGAGACCGCAAGGACTGACCACGTCATCAAGTTGTTTATGGACAACTGGGTGCGTGATTTTGGTTTACCWAAGTCAATTGTTAGTGACAGAGATGTCCGCTTCACAAGTGAGCTGTGGAAGAAGACTGCTGAGCAGATGGGCAGTCAACTTCAGATGACTTCAGGGAATCATCCCGAAGCCAACGGACAGGCCGAGCAGATGAACAAAGTTGTACAACACCTGCTGAGGCATTACATCAAGCCCAGCCAGGATGACTGGGATGAGAAGTTGCCTCTCATCGCCAGCCTGTACAACAACGTTGTACACAGCAGTACCGGCGTTAGTCCTAACCAACTGCACTTGGGATGGAAGCCTAGATCAGCTCTGGACTTCTTCCTACCTGAAAACCGACCCTCTGCAACTCCAGGCACACTTGAGTACGGTGTGCAATATGAGAAGTTGCTGCAGCAAGCTGTCGAGCACATCAAGAAAGCTCAGCAAGCAATGATTGCTTCTGAGAACAAACATCGTCGACAGTCGTCATTTCAGATAGGGGAACGTGTCTGGGCCAAGGCTAGTGATCTAGGACAGGAATTCAGAATCTCTCGCAAACTAATGCCTCAGTATTTTGGTCCATGGGAAGTCCTGGATATAGTTGGGGATGAGATGGATGATCCTATCTATGTTATCCGTATCCCTGGTCATCTGCGCACTCACCCTGTCTTTCATGCCTCAAAGCTTGCACCTTTCGCTGAGATAGATCAATTCCCTTCAAGGAGATCGATGCTGCCCCCAACCATGGATGGTCAAGTGCACATTGACGACATTGTGGATCACAGAGATCTGCCTGTTCCAAAGCCACTGGGTAGAGGAAGACCTCCAAAACCCAAGCGGGAGTATCGCGTCCGATTCAGGCATCATACAGATCCGAAGGAAGATCGGTGGTTCACCAGAGAGGAACTGATTGACACAGCTCAAGTGGTGGCAGATTATGAGAGAATGTTGAAAGGGAAGGCACCTGCGAAGTAAGCATCTCAGCGGAATTTCGAAGCTAAGGGGGATGGAATGTGAGGATTGAGCCCTCAGGAAGGGGCCTTGCCATGATGTACATGTTCTGGGCTAAGGCCCCAACAAGCCTCGTGCCCGCCCTAAGTGAAGGCAGGCCAGCAAATCAACAAGAGCCCTTTGTGCAAACATTTCACGAAGTGGGGTCCATACAGTTGCAGCACGCCAGTTGGTTGGAGGCACCGAGTATCGGAGCTCTGCAAATGCAGAAATCCCAGGGCCCCAGAGTTGGTTAGGCCCTGGGCACATAAACGTGAGGCCGACATTGCATACTGGAAATAGAGGCCGAAAATGCCAATGGGATACCGGTCCACTATCTGAATCTGGACGCAACTGTACTGCGTGGGCCCCAACCGCATTGGGCCTGGGTGCAGGTACCGGGGCCCAGGCGCAGGCTCAAGGGAGGCCGCCCACACACAACACTGGCATATAGGCAAGCAGGGCGAGTGGGCAGGGATCTTGGCCATTGCGGGCAATGCCGGCACGCTGCGGGAATGCGAGGTGCTGTGCTGCGCTAGGCTGAGGTAGGCAGGCTGGCGCTAAGCGGTAGAGCGCTGCCTGGGCGCAGGGCGCTGGCGGCCATAGTCGGGCTGCCTGAGGGTGCAGAGGAGGTGAAGGGCGAAGGTGGTTCTTCGGAGGTGAAGGGCTCTGTGTGGGATAACAAGGGAGAGTGAGGGTGAAGAGTGGGACGTACCTGGTGGAGAGGAAGTCGGCATTGGTGTTGACATCATCACTCGCTGGTCGTCAAGTTGTCTGGTTGCTTTCATGCTGTAGTTGTAGTGATAGGCTGTAGAGTAGGTAGGGCGCCTGGCGCCATTCAAGAGAGAGAGCTACATTGGGTTATGCTGTTGGTGTTGCCCGATTGGGCTTGGACATTGACTCACGATTCTTCTGTATCGTTCTCAAATGGATGGTTACTCGGTTCCATTGTGCTATCTGCTCTTGCTTTGACTACTTGGACTTCAGTGTGATTTTGCAATCTGGATTTCTGTGCTTCGTCCACATTCATGTTCCTTGCAACAGAGCTATCAGACCATAGGCAACCCTGAGACGGTTCAGATTGATATTCCAGGTAATAGCTGTTCCTAATTACCAAAGCATAGTCGTAAATACCGCAACCAAGCGAGCCACCAATTCCTACTCTGCTACAGAAATTATATCACAAACAAGCTGCACCCCGATGACTGGACTGTATGTAGTCTTCAAGGGATCACAATCCCATGATCCATTGTCCTGCCCTTCTCGTTCAGATGCGTAATTATAGCCAGGAGTACAGATGGCGATGATTAGCTGTAGCTCAGGAACCTGTCTCTCCTCCCTTCCTCCCGACTTCCGACCTTCTTCGAAAAACAAGCCATCAACGAATCCCCTGTCCTCCTCTTTCAGTTGCATTATTACAGCACAGGAGCATCGTATAGATGGCAGTGATTAGCTGTAGCTCAGGAAGAAGTCATGAACATCCATAGCAAACCACCCGAACTTTGTGGCCTGTTCCCAACAGCATCCATATAGTATCTTGGTGATGAATGTGGCCCCTATTCCAACTTGGCCTGCGCTACAATATCCTACAGCATACTCATCATGAGAACAAGGAAGCACACAATAGAGGAGGATACACAGTAGGTTAGGTAGCATCAATCAGGGAGGGTGGGGAGGGAGTAGGGGCGGATAGATTTTTTGGAAGCTCCCGATTTGGTCAAGCGGCCCCATCGGGCTGACGAAACATGCAACTTGAAGGGTATTGGTGGAAATTCCCAAAAGCTTTTTCACCAATATGTCACCGGATTGGCTCATCAGGGGGGAGATCTACCCTTAGTTATCGTTCTGAAAGGGAGAGACAATCATAATGGGGGGAGGGGGTAGAAAGAATCGTTTCACGGAAGAGGGTGGAGGGGAAAGGTGGTGGGGGACAGAGCTTCGGCTTCATTACCGCAGCCGAACTTCCGGAAGATGACGATGCAAAGTTCATAGCAATGTAACAGCCACTCCACTCAGCACAGAGGCCTTGGCAAAGTAGAGACACGAACGTTGGGTTTTGAACTGGGAGGTAGGGAGAAGTTTCAGGGGCGAACAGGGACGTAAAAGGAATGGGAGAAGACGAAGGTGGGGGAGCAGAGCATCTCAACGCAAGGGAGTCTCAACCATGGGGTGTTCCGCAGAGGCGCTTGTCGAGTAGAAGATAGGCGATGGAACCCGCCGCGATGGATTGATTAACGCATCGTATCGAGTAGGGCAATGAGTAAGTTTGATTCTCCAGGCGAGTACTGGAGGGCGCATCGTATCGAGTAGGGCGATGAGTAAGTTTGATTCTGCCGACGAGTACTGGAGGGCTATTTCGGTTGGCGAGAGTAGCTAAATAGTAAAGCCACAGCTGTTGAGAGGAACTTGCCGCACCATTGTTCCTAAGGCAGACCCAGGAGCCTATCGCATTTGGAGGGTGCCTCAGGGGTGTCTCCCCTTTTTCTTGGAGAGAGCCCCGTTTTTTGCTGTTTATTGTCCCCTATTCCGAGTAAAAAAGGAGAGAGGTATCGGAGCAGGCTACTCTTGGCCTAATTCAGGCTATATTTTTTCGTTGAAGTTTTTCTTTTTGAGAGACGGAAAGCGGAGAAGAGGGAAAAAAAAAAATCACGGTTTTTTTGGGGGGGGAAATCTTTCCAGCTCATGCTTTTTTTTTTCTATATCCAGAAAAGAACAAAAATAATAAATGTTTCTTTTCCTTTTTCCTTTATTCTTTTTCTTTTTTTTTTCTTTTTTTTTTTTCTTTTTTGTTTTTTACATACTTGCGAGGCCACAGCCTCTATGAGCCCCTTTCAGGCCCTTTTCAGCAGCACGTCGGCTGCCCTAAGTGAAGGCAGGCTCGTCGAGGACCTCAGGGCCTCTATTTTGGCCACCGCACAACTAAGGAAATTCAGGCAGTTGCGCAGCGCCAGTTGGTTGAAAGAATCCCAGGTCCTCTGCCGCCTGTTTGCATGTATCAAAAGCAGGCCCTGGGCTGGATATGGGGTATGGGCCAAACACAGGCCGAAGGCAGTTGGGCACAAGCAACCACCTCAGGCCCTAGGCCTGATCTGTATCGGGTTGGGCCTCAGCCTACCGGGGCCTACCGGAAGCTTCTTGGGAAAGGCCCAGCGCAGCCTGGGACAGAACGCAGGCAGGCCACTTCCATATAGCAAAGGGCCTGCCTCCGCATTTGGAATTCGGGTGCTGGCTGCATGCTGCGCAAGCGCTGCTGCGCTAGAACTGGCAGGCACTCACGCGCTCACGGGCGAGCAGGAAGGGGCAGGCAGCCATAGCCGAGCTGCGCTGCTGTGAGCTGGGTGAGGCGCAGGGTGGTCCTTGGGTGCAAGTGGCATGTGTGTTGGGGAACGAGGTTGTGAGTGAGGCGAGAGACATACCTGGTGCTGGAAGCGTGCGACATCAGTCACTGTATGCTCGTACTTCGGGAAAGCTGTTGACGTCATCTTCGGCATTGTAGTCCAGGCTAGATAGGATCTGCCATCTGTTGTCTTTGCGCCGAGCGCCAGATAGGTTATCAACATTGGTTCTTCGTTGATGATGATGATGAGACTATACCAGCATTGTCAATTATGAACTTGTGGTATGCTCTTATTTGATGAAACTCGTGATGCAATTCTGCTCTTGGTTCGAGGTCGCGACTATCTGGTCTTATGTGTATGATGTTGTTTGATTGCTGAAGTTCACTATTGCTCATCTTCCTTGCAATTTGGTATCAGAGCTGTGGTACGATTGGGTTCATCTGGCGCTTGTCTTCTGCCTATTGCGGTACATACATGCGGTCTGCTTGGTGAGTTGGGCCGTAAGTGGTGTGTAGTGAGGAGGGCAGAGACAAGTAAGTGGCGACCCAGGAGGTGAGGGGTATCGCCAGGAAGGCTATGAGGTGTAATGTGGGTTCTGGATGGTGTGATGAGAACTATCTGATGTGCGATTGGTGCTAAGGTGGAACGGCATGTAATGCTGGTTGTGCCGAAGCAACGACTGGTCATCACAATCGGTGTCAGGTCATCTGGTGAGATTATCTCTATGGTTGGGTTCAGCTATTTGAGGTACGTTGCTCTTAACCTTATCTACCCTCTTCGACACTTCTTACCGTGAGGATGTGTGCTCCATCTTGAGAGTCCTCTCATTGTGAGGAGTCGAGTGCGCTCAACCTTGAGAGTCGGCAATGTTCACGTGGAGCATCTGGGGGAAGATGGGCGGAGCTTTCTGAAGGGCCCTGGACGAAGCACTGGGTCCCAGTCATCATGCCAACCCACCGGGAGTAGAGCATGCATGCTTTGCTGCTTGTCCTTTGTTCGGCTCGCTGCGTTGTTAGATGGGTTACGAGGGGCAGGCCAGCCCTAAGTGGGAGACGAGACCGGGCGTCTTTAAATAAACACCGGAAGGGGAAACCATTGGTTGTGATCATCGTCCTGCTGCGACGTAAAATAATTCCTGATGACACTTGGGGGCGGTCGTTAAATTGCCTCTGGATCAGCCAATGGTTGTAAGGCTCGTGCACACGAGGATAAACGCAGTGTAGGGCTGGCCGGCTCAGCAGCTACTCGGGGCACAGGGGTGGGCCGTGCACACCTTTAGTCACGCACTGTTCTCTGGAGAGCTCACGGACGCTGACGTCAAGTGACATTCCAGGGGAACTAAGGGAGGGGTAGATTTCAGGTGATAAGTTTGAGAAAAATTCCATACTGTCCTCATCCACACAAATGATTCTATTTTTATGTTTTGATTAGTTAGATGTACAACCATTTGACATCTGACAGACAATATAATTAGAATTGTTTCCGTTCATTGTGCATTCTGTTCGCGGACTAATTGAACTAAAAATAGTTTCGTTTGTAGGAATCTGGCTTACCTGTTGGGCTCGAGTGTATGGTCTCTGACATAGCCACCAATTAATAAATTGGTTTGTGCACTATGTTGCGGTAGGCATTTAGAGTGCCCTAGTGCAGACAGTGTATAGTGCTGTAGCTTATGAGTGATAGGGAGGTTCCACAACCGGACGACCGACTCTTGCGTTCACGTAGACGTCTGATCGCCCACTTGGCTTTAGGACCAGAGGGCGACCGACATCTGTTCCGCCAGCTTAGAGAGAGGCAGCAGTAGCAGAGGAGGGCTAGAGCAGCGGAGGCTAGCAGGGCGCTCGTAAGTGAAGCTGCAGCTTCGGAAGCAATGGGTACCTCTGTGCAGCAGACTTCTAAGGCAGGTAGTTCAGGATCTGTAGGGTCAACAAGCTCTGCAGGGTCTACCGACTTTGTAGGGTCAACGGACTCTATAGGGTCAATGGTGGCACAGGCTTTGAATCAGTCCATTGGCATAATGGCAAGCCAACCTCTTGTGATGATTCCCGAGGAGATCGCCATACAGCGAGCAGCTGATCGCGAGGCACAGCTACAACAGGCCTTGGGAGAGATTAAGGCTGAGAAAGAGAGAATATAGGAGAAGAGCCAAGATGCAGCGGAGGCAAGAGGATGTTAGTGAGTTAGAGGAGATGGACCCAACAGAGATGGAGGATGACGTGAGAACCATACGGTCGGTCTTGTTAAGTGTAGTAGAGATGCAAGATCACCAGACAGAGATCTTACAGGACATCCAACAGAGTCTTGCTGTGTTAGTCGGGCGAATGCAGGCGACACCATCACCGTCCGGGCCAGGTGCCTGGCCCGTTGTACATCCTCCTCCTTTTGTCCCATCGGTGACTGGGGTATCCCCATATACAGCTCCAACATCGGTCCAGCCCGTTTCCCTGGGTATGCCTTTGACAGGCGGGTTCTCAGCAGGTCCTAGTTTGCAGGTTCCTGTACAACCAGTGTATTACCAACCTCCGTCGCAGATTGCAGTTACAACGCAACCTGCTGTCTCGCAGTCTGTGCAGCCGCAGGGTACACAACCCCTGCAGCCAGTGCAACCACCTGCATCTCAGGGTCCACAGCCCAGTGGGATGCAGGGACCGGGACAAACCCATTGGGTACCAAAGATGGCCATCGCCGCTCCTAAACCCTTCACAGGGGATAAGAGGGGCGAAGACCTCGACACTTGGTTGAGGGCAGTGCCGGTCTATGTCAAGTGTAACCTCACCTTGCAGCGCGAGGAAGTGCTTGTGCCTGCATCTTACCTAGAGGGTAGTGCAACAAGATGGTTGAGTGGTTTAGTACAACTACAGGGATACGGCCATGACTTTCAAGCTTGGGCGGTCACCCAGAAAATTGATGACTTCCTCAAGTTGGTGGAAGAAAGGTGGCATGATCCCCAGGAGGCCCAAAAGGCCACAAAAGCGATCCTGGCACTGCACACGAGGCAGTTCAAGTCAGTGAGGGAGGCCACCGACGTCGTAGAGCGTCTGATTTGTGTCCCTGGGGTGCGCTATGACCCCCAGGTTTTACTCACCTCCTACCTGAGATGCTTTCCTACGCCTCTCAGGAATCAGTTGGCAGGTGAGGCCAACATCAATGTTCACAACTTCCCCTCGTTTAGCAAGAAGGCCCTAGACCTTGAGGCGAAGATAGCGCATGGGCAGGCACCCACTACGGATGGTAGGAGAAAGTCACTGCCTCCCAACTGGAAGGCGAAGGGTCGCATTATGTTTGTCGATAATGATGGTTCAACCATCGAGTTAGACGACAACTTCCAGGAGGGAGTAGGTTCAGAGGCTGGCAGCGTTGAAGCTTCAGGGGGTGGAGTTGTCGCTGTCGTAGCTCAAAAAGGTAAGGTGACCGGTAGACGCCGTGGTGGCTCCCGGTCAAGGAGTCAAGTTGACCCCAACGCTCCCCCATGGGAGACAGCGGGTCTCACAGAGGACGTGTGGAGAGATCGGTATACACAGCAAGCTTGCATTCGTTGTGGTCAATACGGCCATAACCAATTCAAGTGTTGTAACAAAAAGGTGACCAAGAAGATCCCACCTACGATGGGGCAGGCGTTGGGATCCTCCCATCCCGTCGGTAGCAATGTAGCTATTACTTCTGGCACTGCTCCGGGAAACACGTCGGGCCAGTAGGAATAGTAGTTGTTCCTGCTAGGGTCGAGGTGGTGGACACGCCCTCACCATCTCGAGAGATGGCCCAAGCTACTGACTCCAGCGTCGTCCCGCAAACACATTCAGACCCATCGAGCCTCTATTCGATGAATGTGTTTGAGTCCTTAGAGGAGCTAGAGGAGGAGTGGTCTAGATCAGACCCACTAGCTTCTTGGACGACATTGGTCAAAGCCGCGAAGGGTGAGATGTTCGTCAGCGAGGTGGTTATTGGCGGTCGCAAGGCCGGGGCCTATTATGACACTTGCTCGACTAGGAACTTCATTAGTCGCGCGTGCGTTGAAAGGTTGCGATTACAGGGGCAAGTGCAGCACCTGAGTCAACCTGTGGAGTCGACCTGTGCCAACAAACAACGCATGGTAGTCAACGACTACCTCCAAGATGTCGAGTGTTGTTTCCCGTACGCGGGCGGGGAATTGAGACATCGCGTCTCGTTCGTAGTGAGTGATGAACTCCCCATGGATATGTTGTTAGGTATGAACTACGTCTCCGTGGCACAGCCCCAGTTTGACTGGGACCGAAAAGTGGTCAAACACACTTTGCCAGGGGGGGGGACCGCCAGATTACATAAGTTTAAAGCTAGTAGTCTGATTGAGTCCCATGGATGCATGTGTGCGTCCGCGTTCTACAATTATTATAAGCACAATCAGGAGGAGGGTATGTATCTAGTTTATGTCTCTGATGCAGGCGAGTTGGTGAAAATGTCGTCGGAGATAGAGGGAGTAGTCGCTAAGTACCCTGATCTATTTGAAGAGCCAACAGGGGTTGTTGAGAGGGAGGTCGTCCACGTGATAGAGATTATCCTAGGGTCTGGTATCCCAAAGGGTAGGATCTATCGGATGTCTCCAGGCGAGCTTGATAAGCTTCGCCGACAACTCAAGGAACTCATAGAAAAAGGGTGGATCCGGCCGAGTATTTCTCCTTATGGGTCTCCAGTTCTATTCGTACCCAAGAAGAAGGAAGGAACACTTAGGATGTGCATTGACTACAGGGACCTCAATGCGATCACTGTCAAGAACAGAGAGCCCTACCGCGCATCGACGATTTGATAGATAGAGTGCAAGGGTGTCGGTACTTCAGTAAGATAGATTTGATGTCCGGGTACCATCAGATTGCAATCCGGCCCGAGGATCAACACAAAACCGCCTTTCAGACCAGGTACGGTTTGTACGAGTTTGTGGTGATGTCGTTCGGCCTTTGCAATGCTCCTGGCACCTTTCAGCACGCTATGAATCGGATATTTCATGACTACTTGGATAAGTTTGTCATCGTGTACCTCGATGACATACTTATTTTTAGTAAGACTGTCGAGGAGCACGTTGCGCACTTGGACAAAGTCCTTAGTCTTCAGCGACAGCACAAGTTCAAGATCAACGGTGAGAAGTGCGAGTTTGGCCGCACCCGTGTTTTGTATTTGGGTCATGAGATTTCCGCGGAAGGTTTGAAGCCCGATGACGCGAAGGTGGCCAACATTCGTGACTGGCCGCGTCCTCAGTCTGTGTCTGAGATGAGGTCCTTTCTTAGGGATGACCGACTACTATCGCAACTTTGTGAAGAACTATAGCATAGTTGTCGCCCCTTTGATGGACCTGACTCGCCTTGACACCCCATGGGAGTGGACAGGCAGATGCGAGGCTGCTTTCAGACATTTGAAGCATGCATTGATGCATCATGAGGTTTTGAAACTTCCTGCTCCTGACAAGCCATTTGTAGTAACTACGGATGCTAGCCAATATGGCATAGGCGCCGTACTTGCGCACCAGGAGGGGAAAAGTTGAGGCCAGTAGAGTACATGTCCAAAAAGATGCCCTCTCAGAAGTTGGCTAAGTCCACCTATGAGAAGGAGCTCTATGCGATCTACAAGGCGCTCACCCACTGGAGACACTATCTCCTTGGGAGGTTCTTCTACGTCAGGACTGATCATCAGACCCTGAAGTGGATGAGAACCCAACCTGTGCTCTCCGACGCTTTGAAGCGTTGGATTGAAGTCATAGAGCAGTATGACTTCGAGCCCCAGTGCATTAAGGGTGAGTACAATAAGGTTGCTGATGTGCTGTCGCGTAGACCGGATTTCTCAGGGGCGCTGATTACTGAGTTCAGTCTTACGGATGATGTTACTCGCTCTTTGGTGGAAGCCTATCGTGAGGACCAGTTCATGTCTGAGATCATACGCAGACTTGAGGCGAAGGATGTGAAGACTTCTGCCGAGTTTGAGTTGGTCAACGGCTTGCTGTTCCTTGAGAAGGCCAGGAATAACCGATTGTGTGTCCCAAATAGAGAGTCTTTGCGTAGTTTATTCTTAGGAGAGTGTCATGATGCCACCGGCCACTTTGGCTATAAAAAGACGGCAGCCAATCTGCTGAAGCGGTTTTGGTGGCCCACGATGATGCGAGATGCCCAGCTGTACGTGGAGACTTGTCAGGTCTGTCAGAGAGACAAGCCACATACTCAGGCTCCTCTTGGGCTCCTGAAGCCCCTTCAGATTCCGGAAAGACCTGGTGAGAGCCTGTCCATGGACTTCATGGATACGTTGGTCACCAGCAAGAGCGGGATGAGACATATCTTTGTCATCGTGGACAGATTTAGTAAGTATGCTAGGTTGATAGCCATGCCGGAAACAGCAAAAACCGAGTACGTTATCAGACTGTTCAAAGAGAACTGGGTAAGAGACTTTGGTCTACCCAAGTCAATTGTGAGTGACAGGGATGTCAGATTTACAAGTTAGTTGTGGAAGGCTGCTGCTGCCGAACAGGGAACGCAGCTGCAGATGACTTCGGGTAATCACCCTGAGGCCAATGGCCAGGCCGAACAATTGAATCGCGCTGTCCAACACCTGTTGCGGCATTACATCAAGCCCAATCAGGTCGACTGGGACGAGAAGCTTGCTCTCATCGCCAGTCTGTATAACAATGCTGTTCACAGCGCCACCGGAGTGAGCCCTAACAGTCTGTTACTGACTTTCAAACCTAGACCACCTCTAAACTTCTTACTACCTGAAAATCAGACAACTGTTGCACTCGGTACTTCAGAATTTGCATACCGATATGAGCAGAAGATGCAGCAGCCAGTGGAGCAAATGCAGAAAGCTCAGGCAAAAATGATAGAATCTGAGAACAAACATCGCCGCCCTTCTACATTTCAGGTTAGGGACAGAGTCTGGGTTAAGTCCTCAGAACTGGGATAGGAGCACGGAATTTCCCGCAAGCTCATGCCCCAGTACTTTGGGCCATGGGAGGTCTTAGACATTGTCGGGACAGATCCGGATGGGCCGTCTTATGTACTCCGGATCCCTGTTCATCTCCGCACTTATCCTGTCTTTCACGCCTCCAAACTTGCACCTTTCAGGGAAACAGAACAGTTCCCTTCTCGTCGCTCAATGCTGCCCCCAACCATGGACGGAGAGGTGGATATCGATGATATCGTGGAC